ACTCCGGGATGGTCCCGCGTCTCTCAGACTGACAGGTACAGAATCACCTGACAATGATCACGTCAACATCAGCAGGGGACGGTAGATTGGATCAACATGGGGCTGATGAGAAAGACACCTCTGTTTATTATCACTATTATAACTACCATTATTATTCCCACACGGGATCGATGTTCTCTTATATAAGTGTGGGAAGAGTATTACTGAGAGGTCGATGAGAAGTCAGCAGGACGATCATAGAGTATTTCATGAATGAACTAGAGTTCCCCGATCTCATACCTTCGCCAAATGACTGACAAATTATAGATTAGATTATTCCCCCCTGATTTAAGAAATAGGAACCTAATTTTCATGAATTATATCATTTTATCATAATCTCAACCAAAAGACAGTCTTATATAAACAAACAAGGCATTCTAGTATTTCCTAATAAATTATGCAAATGAGGTCCTCATTTGAATAAATTATGTTTAATGATGTTCACCTCAACTTAACTTTCAAATACCATAAGTATGAAATTACAGGCAGTTATCATTACATAATTATAAAATTTTCTCATTAATTATGCAAATTAAGTCATTATTAACATAATCAATATCTGCCTGTGTTTCTCTCGTTGTCAATTACCAATGTCACAAGCTTCAATTGTCTTATTATGGAATGCAGCTGATTTATAGAATTTCCCCATAAATTATGCAAATTACATCCATATTTGCATAATTGTCACATAATTATATTAAGCATCACGTAAGCTACCTACATACCAAAAATCACGACGATCCGTCAACCGGTTATTGAGTTATCCTCTTTTGAATATTTTCAAGAATATATCCCTGCAGTTCCAGAGCAAGCCACTAGGGGGCCCAAAATCACGTCACTTCTTCCCCAGCACAAGAGCTACCTACCACCCAAATTTCATCACCATAACATGTCTAGATCATGAGATATCAAAACCGGAAGTTCAGCTGCAGTACCATAACAAGCCGCTAGGGGGTCCAAAATCTAATCATTTTGAGGTCTCATCAAGACCTACCCACCTACCAAGTATCAAGACAATCCATCAAGGCCTTCTCAAGTTATCGTGTTGACAGACAGACAGACAGACACACACACACACACACACATACACGAACGCCTCTGAAAACATAACCTTCTTGGCGAAGGTAATGAATACATACGTTGCAAATGGAAACCACCCACGTTCGACATGAAATACAGGGATGAAATAACTGATTATATGTGGATGAACGCCAAAAAAACGAACAGAAGGATTGTGAAATGATGAATAAAGATGTCATCTGCATAGCCCACGTTTTTTTTAATTCGATTTACTTTCGTACCATTTTGATGTTGTAAATTTTTGAAGCAGGCTGTGACAGACTAACATAGATATTAGGTACCATATTCTGTGTGTCAGGGCGCGGTAGCAGTTTTTAATCTCCAAGCAGATCTTTCGGTGGGGGTAAGAAAGTATCAAATTGGCCAGCCTGTATCCATTTGCCAGACAGTATCCATTTCCCCACTACTTCCAATTTGATACTGTCTTACCCCTAATCTCCAAGTAGATTCGGTGGGGCAAGGGGACTTTATATATTGGCCAGTCCTGTATCCATTGGCCGCCTGTATCCAACGTTCGAACGTTGGATACAGGCGGCCAATGGATA